ATATCATCAATATAAACCTCCATTGATTTACCTATTTGTTCTTCGAACATTCGATTTACTAGGCGTTGACAAGTAGCACCAGCATTTTTTAGTCCGAACGGCATTACATTATAGCAATAGGTGATATAATGTAAAGATCTCATGGCCGGCCGTGGCATCAATCATGCGATCGATATTTGGTAAAGGAAAAGAATCTTTAAGTCATGCCTTGTTTAAATCCTTATAGTCCACGCACATTCTAAGTTTATTTCCCTTTTTAGGGACTACAACTACATTTGCTAACCATTCGGGATATTTTACCTCCCGAATGGATCCTATATTGAGAAGTTTTGTTACCTCGTCCTTAATGAATGCATATTTTACCTCGGACTGGGGCCTTCTCTTTTGTTTTACCGGGCGGAACTTTGGGTCCAAGCTTAGTCTATGCGTAGTGATCTCCGATGGGATCCCTGTCATATCTAGGCGGGACAAAGCAAAACAATCAATGTTATTTAAAAGGAATTAAACTAGTTTTCCTGAGATCGGGAGTCAACCCCGTGCCCAGGTATACCTTTCGATCAGGAAGGCACTCGATCAATATGATTTGTTCTAGCTCTTCGATCGTTGACTTCGTCGCATCAGAATCATCGGGGATTATGAAGGTTTTGAGGTATCATATAATCATTATCCTCGAAAGTTTCCTGCTCCTCCGATCGGGCCGAGGCTGGTGACGGTGGTTGCTATATGACTTCTTGTTTTCCCTTTGACTCCGATCCCTTTGTTGATGAAACCGCCGATATCGGCACTACTTCGCCGATTGCAAACATTTGTTTGGCGGCGGGTTGTTCACCGTACACTGTTTTGATTCCTTCTAACGTTGGGAATTTCAAGACTTGATGAAGCGTCGAAGGCACTGCCCTCATGTTATGAATTCAAGGCCTTCCGAGCAGCGCGTTGTACCTCATGTCACCTTCGATCACATGGAACTTTGTTTCCTGGATAGTCCCGACCACATTTACTGGCAAAATGATTTCCCCTTTGGTGGTTTCACTTGCCATGTTGAAGTCGTTAAGCACTCGAGCTGCGGGTAAGATTTAATCTTGGAGGCCGAGTTGCTCTACGACCCTTGATCGACTAATGTTTGCCGAGCTACTTGGATCAACCAATACACGTTTAACCTGAACTTTATTCATAAGGATAGATATTACCAGTGCGTCGTTGTGAGGTTGTTCGATCCTTTCTGCATCCTCGTAGTTGAAAGATAGGGTTTCTTCCGGTAAGTAGTCCCGATTTCGCCTTTCCCTTGTGATTGCACCTTGGTGCGTTCAAATACTGGCCCTTGAGGAATATCGACCCCTCCAATGATCATATGAATCACATATTGTGGCACTTCCTGCTCGTTTTGTCTGTTTAACTCTCTGTTTTTGAAGTGGTTCTTGGCTCGATCACTTAAGAATTCTCGAAGGTGACCCTCGTTGAATAAACGAGCTACCTCCTCCCTCAGCTGTCTGCAATCTTTGTCTTTGTGACCATGGGTACCATGATATTTGCATATTTGATTATGTTTCCTTTGAGCTGGGTCAGTCTATAGGGGCTTGGGCCATTTGGTATCCTTGATCTGTCCAATGGCTGATACAATACCCGACGCGTCGATGCTGAAGTTGTACTCGGATAGTCGTGGTGCTTCTGTGCGCTCGACATGTTTATCGAAGCCACTTTTACTCATAAGCCCTTGGAGTTCTGTCCTCGGTCATTCCTTCGATAGTTTCGAACGGGATTACGTCCTGGGTCGTTGTTTCTACGATCTGCGATGTACGGTTGTTACCGATCTCTGTTCGACCGGGTTTCTCTGTCGAGTTCTCTTTGAGTTCTGCCGATGGGCCTATTTGGGTAGACGGAACCAGAAGGGGTTCCCAATTGATCATCCTCGACCCTAATCTTTGACTAGTACCGATTATATACATCGGCCCAGGTCACAGCTGGATATTCAATTAAATTCTGCTTTAGTTGTCGTGACGTTGTCGAACTCTGTTCGTTCAAACCTTGAGTAAAAGCCTGAATAACCCAATCATCTGTGACCCGGGGTAGGTTCCATGCGTTCCATATGGATTTGAGATGCGAATTCCCTCAACATTTCATTGTCCTTTTGTTTCACTTTGAAGAGGTCTGATTTCCTAGTTGCAACCTTTATCGCTCTTGCATGTGCCTTCACGAATGAATCTGCAAGCATGGCGAAGGAATCGATGGAATTGGGCGGCAAATTGTGGTATCATATCACTGCCCCTTTCAATAAAGTTTCTCCAAATTTTTTCAATAGAACGAATTCAATCTCATCATCTTCTAAGTCAATTCCCCTTTATTGCGCACGTATAAGAAGTGACATGTTCATTAGGGTCGGTGGTTCCATTGTATTTGGGAATTCCTGGCATGCGGAATATTTTTGGGATGGGCTTCGGACCCGCACTTGGAGGGAAAGGCTTCTGCACGAACTTTTTCGAATCCAAACCCTTTAGAATCGGGGGTGCCCCCGATATTTGGTCAACCCGTGAGTTATATGGTTCTACCTTTTTGTCATTAGCCTCGATTTTCCTTTCACCTGATTCGATCTGTTTAGTGAGCTCCTCGAGGATCTTCATAATGGCAAGGTCAGTCCCCGATTCATTGGCGTTCGATTTACAGGTTCGGCTCTATGAATAACCTCTAGTGATATTTCGAGCTCAATTATGCTTGGTGCTCGATTTTTATTTTGGAGTTGTGCTATCGTAACTTGTTGAGTATGCAGTATCTCGAATATCATTCGAAGGCTAATTCCGCCTTCTTCACCGCTCTGCGCGTTCTGATCGGCTACTCGAGCATCTCTGCGGATGCTATTTTCAGGGTCGACGCACAAATTTCCATTAATGGCAATATGGGAGATGACATCGACTGGGACTACAGCCGTCGGTCCATCGGGGTTGACTGGAGGTACTCCGTTTCCCGGGACGGCTATGTTTTCGTTTTCACCATGAAGACCAAGGCTGTTGTCTGTGTGAGTTGGTGCTACTTGAGAGTTTGACATGTTGATTCGTGAAATCAAATACACTTACGAGAACAAGCGTAAAGCCGTCTGTGTTATGAGAACTAATACAAGGAAATCACTATTATCCTTAGCCCCACGGTGGCGCCAAACTGTTTACCCTTAAAATTGGATAACAATTAAACTTATAATGTGATTTTAAGGATACGTGATTTCACCTAATACCAATTGATGAATATGAAGATTAATAATGAAAATTGACAATAATATAAAGCAAACCAGTGTTTGAATGGAATTCAGCCCTCGAGCTTGAATACCCTCGAATTGATTGGTGCAAGAACAATTAAAAATATAACATGCTAATAAACAAGAATATGAACTAAAGAAAAAGCGTTATATTGCTGTGATATCCAGAACGTAAGTGCTTTACAAATTATTGGAACTCCTCTTTATATAGTAGAGAAATCCTAATTATGGTATAACTCTAATTACAGAAGGAAATCCCATGATCAGCTAATTAACCGTCCTTGATTTTATCCATTCCGAGATATCCGCCATGATCTTCGACCAGTCACGGATACTTCGCCTTTCTGTTATTATGCTACCTTCGATCTTGCTCGATGTCTATCTTATTTGGTCTCAATCACTACATGCCTCGATCTTGACAGGTACCTCAAATCTCGAACTTGGTACCTTGTCCTCGTGCCTCGGTCTGATCTATTACGGGATCGATCTTCGATCCTTCACCGATCTCGATAAGTCAGTAAAATCGGGTGGGCCCGATTTTTACCTTATACAGACATGCCAAACGTGCATGTATTGATTTTTAAATTTATTTATAGATGGGGCATGTAATTGAATAATGTAGTTTCTTTTACCACATATCCACTATATTCCCATACTTGGGTTTAGGGAAAAATGTTGTTTCTTTTCACTCTATCAATTTCATTTTGGAACTAGGATCCGATGTTAGGAGGCAATAGAGCACTAGACATAGCCAAAATCATCCGCATTAGTAAAGATCAGATCATATAAATATGTAGACCAAACTTATGACTGCACCAACTACAAGAAAAGACCTCATAATAGTCAATATGGGGCCTCAGCACCCATCAATGCACGGTGTTCTTCGACTCATCGTTACTCTAGATGGTGAAGTGGTGGCCTAACCATCAAGGTGAAGTCGGGACCTAAAAGATCCTCTCCAATTATAGGCATTGAAGGGATCGAGAGAAAGTAAGAAAACTATTGTACGCCCTTGGGGCTTTCTATTTGATTGTATGGCAGAACTGGAATAGTGCCTTCATATATTAACTTGATGACAAAAGAAAGTGATGAATTTGACCAAACAGACCAACAAATTATTTCAGTTTCAGCACTAATATTCCAATATATAGCTGCTTATTTATAAAACTTTTTCTATATTTAATAATATTACTCAACACTTAATGCTTATATTCAACTATGCCAAACAGACTCCTAATCCTGTGTTTGAGTGAGATGGAGTATTTGTTATACAGGTATTGCTTTTAAATTAATTCATAAACTTTAGAAATATATTAATAGTCTGTTTGGCCAAGCTTCTTTTGAGGCAAAATCACTTTTCTTTTGTGGTCAAAAGTGCTTTTTTTTTTTTCTAAAATTAAGATGTTTGGCCAAGCTTTTGAAAAAAAAAAAAGTACTTTTGAGGAGAAGCAAAAAAAAGTAGCTTCTCTTCAAAAGCACTTATCTGAAAAGCACTTTTGAGAAAAATATACTTAGAAGCAGTTTTTTAAAGCTTGGCCAAACACTAATTGCTGGTCAAAAGTGCTTTTCAAATTAATTAGTCAAACACAAACTGCTTCTCACCAAAAGTACCTTTGAGAAAAACACTTTTGAGAAAAAGCACTTCTCAAAATAAGCTGATTTTTGCAGCTTGGCCAAACGGGCTATAAAACTGCTCAGTTGTTTTAGACCAAGGCACAATCATAAGAAAGTATTTTAGGCATGTGCTCAATTTGGATAAATGAAATATTTATGCATATGATTTTCTTGTTATTCCAGGAAATAACAGGAAATGGGAGGAAAATGACTGAGCTAAGACAAGTACATGAAAAGAGGATTTTTGTTGAAACCATTGTTAGTCTTCTGCCAAGGGAGAAAAATGCCTTGTCAGTTAGCTTTCTCGCAATGCTTCTTCGCGCTGCAATATATCTTGAAACTACAGTTGCTTGTAGAGTTGATCTGGAGAGGAGAATCGCGTTGCAACTTGGACAAGCTGTATTAGATGATTTGCTAATTCCTTCATATTCTTCCTTCACAGAAGACACATTATTTGATGTTGAAATCGTGCAACGTATCATGACGAATTTCATTGAGTATGAAATGGTGGAGAATCGGTTTGGCTTCAACGATGAAGAGTATGCGCCTGCATTAGCAAGTGAAATGGAGAAAGTTGGGGAACTCATGGAAGATTACCTTGCTAAAATAGCCTCTGACAATAATCTCTCTGTTTCGCAGTTTATTAGTATTGCTGAAGTCATTCCAGAGAAATCAAGGATCACAGAAGATAGGATGTACAAGGCCATTGATACTTATTTGAAGGTATGCACGTTGAATCATTTGCCTGGTAGAGCAATTTTTCTATGTGCACTAGTACACCTACAAGAGCATGATCGTATATTTACAGGATTTTAAAAATGTTCTATGTTGATGCTCTTTCAAGTGTGTCATCTTTAGATCAAATGTATAGTTTAACAAACAGTTACATTTGATAGTAAGCAGGTTTATAGCTAAGCAGCTTGTCATACTGTGGCAAGAAAGACTTTTGAAACTTCAGACCATGCTTAGTTGATCTTCGTCATAAATAAAGGATTTTAAGTCATATACATTCATAGCCTAAAAATCTTTCATACTCTCATCTCAATTTAATCGGAAATAGCAGGTTATTACTCTATTTTCTAGGTTACCATATCAGGCTTGCTACGAATAGCTATCTACTGGTCTATGTCATTTTGACTTGAAAATGCAAAAAAATTACGTACTCAGTGTACAGAACTTACTCTTAAATAAACAACTCCACCGGAGAATGGTTGTCTAATCTTCTAGCTTTTGCACAATTTGAAGGCACATCCAGCTCTAAGTGACGTTGAGAGAAAAAGAGTTTGCAGTGTTATGAATTGTCAAAAGCTAACTCGAGAAGCTTGTGCTCATGCTGCTCAGAATGAGAGGCTCCCTGTTCAGACTGTTGTGCAAGTGCTTTACTTTGAACAACAACGCCTTCGCCAAGTTATGAATGGTAGTTTAGCCGATGCAGATCAGTCATCCGCTGACAATAACCCTGTTACAGATGAAGTCTCAAGTCTAAAAAGAGAAAATCAAGATCTAAAATTCGAGCTAGTGAAAATGAAAACGAGGTTGAAAGAAATTGAAAAATGTGGTGATAAATCAGCTGCTAGTACACCTGTGGAGATCACCACTCCAATATGTTCTGATAAACCTCGTCTGCGAAGAAAATCTTTCATAAGCTCAGTTTCCGAAAAGCTTGGGAAACTGTATCTAATATCATTTGGAGCTGATCATGTAATCATGCCATCGGGCAGCAAAGGAAGATATAAACCAATTAGTAGAGATAGGCGATATTCTATATCATGATGCAGCTAAATTTGCCATTAAGCTGTTGGTTTTGGCTGAAGTAGATTGCACTATTTGAATCTTTGGAAAGCAGTAATGGATTTAGCTATATTTCTGTCTTTTGATTCTCCTTTGTTTTTATGATTTTCCGAGTCATATTGTTATATAAGTGTTTTAACTTCTGCATTTTAAGCATAGGCAAGAATCTTGGGTGTGGAGTGGTAATTATTATTAACCAGCACCTTAACAATAACCTTGTTTAGTTCAACTTAACGTTATGGAAACAACACAGCCTTAATTAATTATTGCCAAACGAGCAGTGGCCGAGCCACATGCACCCAAGGGGTGTCACCGACATCCTTCGTCGGAAAATTACACTGTTTAGCTCGGTATTTTTTTTTAAAATATGTATATATACTATATAATGACGCCCCTTGACTTCTTGGTGAGTTTGTTTCTTTATATTTACTCCCCTTAATGAAAATCTTGGCTCCGCCACTGCAAACTACAACAGAATGCTGGGATTTTCCTAAAGAATTTGCGGAATTCGAATTAGTTGAGAAGCACTTTTGAATTACCAAAAGTAGTGAGAAACCGTTTGTGTTAAGATAATTTTTTTTTTAAAAAGTGCTTTCTTGTCAAAATATATATAAAAATGAGAAACATAAAAATATTCACGTTACAAGTTATATCAGTTAAAATATCATGGTATAGCCAGTTTTCACACTGGTCAATGAAAAATAGCCAGCGTTTACCAAGTCAATGACAAATAGCCACTATTTTGCTGCAACAGGGACCGGTCCAGTATAATATACGGGAGTTCTGGTGCATTTGTGTACGAACTCCAGCATATTATGCTGGACCGGTATACTTTGCTAACTCCTGTAAAATATGCGGGAGACTGGAGCACCAGTGCTCCAAACTCCAGTATATTATACTGCACAATTATACTTGCTGGAACTCCCGTAAAATTTTACGGGAGTTCCAACATAATTATGCTTGAACTCCCGTAAAATTTGCGGGAGTTCCAGCATAGTTATCCTGGAACTCCTGTAAAATTTACTTATGCTGGAACTCCCGTAAAATTTGCGGGCGTATTTTTCCGGATTTTGAACAGTGTTTTCGCTCAGATTTAAAGTGGCTAAATTTCGATGACTTTTGAAACTTGGCTATTTTTCAACGACCAGTGGTAAATCTGGCTATTTTTGAATTTCTCCCGTTATATCAGGGTGAAAGTCATTCTCCCCTACAATTTTTCTTAAATACAAACCCATCTCGAACTTTGAATAATACATATTTCTCCCTTATCCCACACAATTTTTCTTAAAAATTAATTTTCTATTACTACTTTACTTTCAAGTAGAAGCTACACATTTAACCCGTCTGTCCAATGCTTTGTTCTCGGCTTAGAGCCCGTTTGGCCATGAATTTATTTTACTTTTTTCCGAAAAAATTTCACTTATTTTAAAAAAAAAAAATTCAGTGTTTCTAGTGAACCCCTCAAACTCCGTAGGTAATTCGAGACTTTCGCCAGGGCTTATACTTCATCAATGTCCAGCCATAAAATTTTCAATTTTCACTTGAAGATGAATTTTTTGAAAATTTGTTAAACTCCAAAAAAGGTTTTTTAAAATTTTCACTCAAAATCACTCACAAAAATTCAAAAACAACCCAAAATTATATTCATGTCCAAACACAACTCTAATTTTCAAATACCATTTTTCACTTGAAAAAAATTCATTTTTCCCGGAATTTTCAGTTCTTATGTCCAAACGCCCACTTAGTCTAATAAGGGATCTTTTCAATCAAAATATTTGTCTTTTCATATCAACTTGACTTGGAGCCATACTCCTATTTAGATCTCAATTTATGAGTAGGGGATCCGTCTCTCAAAAGGTGCTACAAGTGTTAATCATCCTTCTATACGATACCCGCTTTAAACCCATAGTTTACAACCCCCCCCCCCCCCTTCCCTTCCTTTCTTTTCCCTTTGTTTTGAGAAAGGGGTAAAAGAAGAGAATCCAAGAAAATAATGGTACAGACTACAGATACTAACAAATTAAGCTTTATTAACAGACAACAGTCAGTTACATGAAAGATTATAGATAGTAGTTAAAAGAAGCCTACTTAACTCTTTATCTGTAATGGCTAGAATCTTACAAGTATTGATATCTTGCTACTTTACGAGGTAATAACAACTCTCAATTTAGAAATAATCAGATCTAAGATGTAGTATATACAACCTAACCTTAATCCAAAATTTTGCGTAGCTTTAAACCACGTTGAAGCTTTACCAATGCTTGTATTAAACTGTATTAGCATCACTGTTTGATCGCCTTTCAAAAGCACAGCTCAACTCGTCACTTTCAGATGGACTTGACGTCACAGACTTACCGCTATCAATGCACTAATCAATCAATGATTCTTCATATGCATGCAACGAAACTTTCTCAAGCTGTATTGGCCAATCTTCCCCTAGTATCCTGGGATTCAACTCCATTGCAGAGCGAAAGTCCAGCATTGAAACAGAAAAGAGATCACTTGGTTTCTGAATGTATCTTCTCGGCCTTATTTTATTTGAAACTGATACAGCTTGGTCATGGATGCACTTGTCTTGTGACCTTGAGCCTGCTAATTCCAAACAAGGCTTTAATAATCGCTTCATAAATGCATCAAGCCCATGATGCAACACATTTACAGAATCTGTTGATATTTGTAGGCCTTCTGCCTCCGACTTCTGTTCCAACCATTTCTTTAGGGAGTTGGAGTCAGGCAAATCACCAGTGCTATTACAAGTTTCTATGCTTTGCAAAAGAGCTGACCTGCGACATGCTACTTTCCTTGTTCCCTGATTACTCAGAGAGATGCCAAGGGGAGCAGTTACATGACTTCTACTCCAAATGCTACCCAATGATATCAACTCAGTAGCAGTTTGATGCTCTTGTGCTTTTGGTGCAGTATCTTCACAAGCAGCAGCAGAATGTGTTTTCTCATGAGGCCCCCGATGACTCGGCCGGTCCTTGAATCTTCGATCACGAAGGGCAGGAGTTCTCCCCTTTTTCGGAGATTGAGGAAATGAGTCCCGGCACATTGACTGGAGAGTGCCTCTTTGATATCCATTTGAGACTTTGACATGTAATGAAGCCTGCATTTTGCAATCTTTTGTCGGAGGTGTCTTAGCAGCACAAGCATTTTTTATAATTGCTCGGGTAAGTGCATTGTGAAGGCATATATTCTCTCTCCCCAACAAACAAAGGCAGAATTTCTCAAACTCTGACTTGCTAAGCTTTAGACTCAAGTATCTGCTTAACACAGTAAAATACTTCTCAGCCCTCTGTTGACCAATCTTCCTTTCAATCCGAAGCTTCAACTCGTAAGTGTCAATTCGGGGGCAATGCCGATTCATGGGCATTCTCACTCTCTAGTGCACTTTGAACGTTGACCAGAAACAGTTAAACAATCAGGAAAAGCACCACGAAATTCATAGGATAAAAGGCATCTCTGCTCAATCCATCAACAAAGTTGATCTCAGCAGCAAAATCCACTTTATATGCTCCCTACATCCTGCGATCAAATTCTGCAAGAAGAAGAAAAATTAAACTCAATATGTCTTTCCTATTGCACAACGATTAATAAACTTCTCAATTCCACAATTTCAATTAAAACAGAAAAAGGGATCATTATGTTTGGTAAGTGGTAAAGAAAAAATAAAGTTCGGTAAGAAGTGGCTACTATACTCTCAATCCAATGAAGAAGCATGCATAAGCAAGACAGATCTCTTTCTCTTTCTCTATGCAATCCTGCAAAGACTCTATGCGATAGGATTCAATCTCACAAAGAATTCACAAGTGCAACTGTCTTTGAATTTTGAATTTAAAGAGGAGACCTCCAACTACTCAGTGGAACTCAGTCGTTAGAAGTTCGTGTGTATGCACGTGTCGTCACCTCATTGGTCGGAGGTCCAAGACGTCTATAGGATGCAAACTTGCTTCCTTTTCTTTCTATTATTTGTAGTACTAGAAATCAACAGCACCGGATCGATGATTCTGTCTCCACTACTTGAGGCAAGAAAGGTGGAATCTTTTTACTTTGCACAAAAGGAGACTGAGATAACCAAGTGAATATGGCCATTTTACCCTCCAACTACTTAGTCACACCCTTGCCCTCAAACCAGAAAGCCTCAACACTATATTACTAGCATGTGTTAAGCATAGTAGAACATTTCGACACATTCAGTTGACTATACAGAAGAAAGCTAACTTTAAATTCTAGTGAGGACCAGATGAACTCGGCATTCACAAGACTGTTTTGACTCTCATCATGATACATTCTAGAAGTAAGCAGGTGGGTGCAAAGGAACCAGTCCAAAATCCAGCTTACAACAACACAATTCAAGCATAGGCATATTCTGAAAATTGACACTGAATTCTTCAAGAAATAGTAGAAATAAGAAATAAAAAATGCAAAGAAACAAACTTTACTACACCCCAAGTAAAATTATCAACTTCAAAATCAAACCCACAAGTGCAATCGCGATCAGAAGTAGATAAACACCATAAACCTCAATAAAAGTCCAAAGCAGAAAAAAGAAAAAAAAAGAAAAAAGAGAAACTCACCTGAGCTAATGAAGTAATGAATTCAAGAAAAATGGAGTTAGAATTTTGGCAGAGTAGGATCAGCAAGTGATGGAGCTTCGGGCTTCGGGTCAAAGGGTGACAAGATTAGGGCTTTTAAGTGCTGAATTTTCGAAGCTTCTAATGGAAGTCAAAGAGAAGTCAAAGGCACGTGCGGCTTTCACAGGTGAGTAGTGACTTGGGAAGTCTGAGGTTGTTTTTATTTTATTTTATTTTTTTTAATTTTTTGTTTTAGGTTGTTTTTATTTGGGTTTTAAGGATTAGTCATTTAGAGGGTAGTCTTTGGGTTCCAATGATAGTTGGAACTTGGCATATATTCACAAGAAGAAATTAGAGTTTGATAAAGTACAAGTCAGCCGGTCTGTTCTAAAAACCAAGCACTACTAAACAGTACTAGGATTTAGTACTTTTATTCAATGTACTAAAAAAGAAAAAGCTAAACTGTATTGTCCTGCAGTTCTACTCATAAACATCTCAATGTACCAAGAATGTGCCAATCTCCAATAATGCTTTCATATTTGCACCAAGCTAATTAACAAAAATTAACGTATGATTATTGAATTTTATCCGATGTGTTAAAAAATGTAAGAACACTATATTTGTATTTAAAGTCATTGAACTTTACTCGTTGTATCTATAAAGTCACAAAATAATTTTGTGTATCATTAAAGTCACTGGACTTCCACTAACATCAGAGAATATAGACCTATAGCTTGTTGCACTGTGCTGTATAAACTGATAGCTAAGGTTCTTGCTAATAGAATACAAAAAGTCATTGCATCCATTATTTCAGAGACTCGGGCTGGATTCATCCCAGGAAGAAAGGTTGCAGATAATGTGATTCTTGCTCATGAACTAGTCAAAGCCTACTCTAGAAAGAATATCTCTCCTAGATGCCTTATCAAAGTGGACATCCAAAAAGCCTATGACACAGTAGACTGGAGATACCTGCATCAAATGTTGGAGGCACTGGGATTTCCCACTAAATTCATCAACTGGACCATGGAGTGTGTAACAACAGTGAATTACACAATTCTTGTTAATGGTGAAACAACAAAGCCTTTTGATGTAGCTAGGGGACTGAGACAAGGGGACCCTATGTCACTCTTTTTATTTGCCATAGCTATGGAATATCTCAGCAGGAGTTTAAAGACCTTAAAGCAGGAGAAAGCATACCATCACCACCCGTTGTGTGCAAGGCTGAATTTAACTCACATATGCTTTGCAGATGACATTCTGATCTTTGCAAGAGGAGATGTAACCTCAGTAAGTCAAGTTTATGATAGATTTCAGATCTTTTCAGCAGCTTCAAGACTTAGTGCTAATCTAGCAAAAAGTTCTATCTATTTTGGAGGAGTCAGTGAGGAGGTTCAAAAGGAGATTCAGAGAAAACTAGGGTACAGCCAAGGGTCATTGCCTTTTAAATACTTGGGCATCCCCCTTGACTTCAAGAAGCTATCTATCATGTAATGGCAGCCACTTATTGACAAAATAGTAGCAAGAATCTCATCTTGGACAGCTAGGAAGCTGTCATATGCAGGTAGAATTCAATTGGTTCAGCATGTTATCTTTGGTATCCAAGCATACTGGGCTCAGATTTTCATCATGCCAACTAAAGTGGTCAAGACAATTGAGGCTTATTGCAGAAGTTATGTCTGGTCAGGGGAGAATGTAATTACAAAAAAGGCACTGGTATCTTGGGAGAGGATGTGTTCACCAAAAGCTACAGGGGGACTAAACCTGGTTAATCTGGCATTGTGGAATAAAGCAGCAATGACAAAGTATACATGGGAGCTGGCAAATAAGAAGGACAAAGTATGGATTACATGGATCCATAGTTACTACATTAAAGATCAGTCTTTTTATACTATGAGGGTGCCACAACAAACATCATGGATGCTGAAGAAAATATTTGAAGCAAGAAATAATATGGCAGGAATTAATGACAATCAAGATAAACAGAAGAAAGTGATCAAGTAGGTATATATGCAGCTGATAGGGGAGATGCCAAAGATAGCATGGAAGGGACTAATGTATCAAAACCAGGCTAGACCAAAAGCAGTATTTATACTGTGGTTACTGATGCATGGAAGACTCCAAACTGCTGATAGGCTGAAGAAATGGAAGATTCAAGTAGATGACCTATGCTGTTTTTGTAAACAAGCTTTAAAAACAAAAGAACATATGTTTGCAGAATGTGCATATGGCAGAGATTTGTGGAGCAGGCTCATGCAATGGATTCAAATGCAAGTTAGCTTATCTTCATGGACAGAATGGCAGCAATGGATAATACAGAAGACAAAGGGAAGATCGCAAATGGCTAGAATACTCAAAATGGTAGTTGCAGAATACGTTTATACTTTGTGGATAGAAAGAAATGCAAGAGTCTTTGAAAAAACAGCTACAACATGGGACATTCTTGCAAAGAATGTGACCTGTGTTTGTAGTATGAGAGCTGAGGGGTATACTAAAGTTTTGTTAGCAAAATGTAATTACTAATAGATATAGTTGATAGACAATTAGACGATGAAATAGTTGATTGTACCAGTATGGAAGTTAGGTTGAGATGACTTACTGATTTGTAAATATTACTTTGGTGATTAATATAAAGATTTAATTACCAAAAAAAAAGTCACTGGACTTTGTATTGATTTCTTATACAACTCTATTACTTTCCAAATAAAAAATATATATCTTATACAACTCACCAAAACCAAATTTCCTATTACTGAAAATGACTATCTGGATTCTATAGTTTTTTTTTTTTTTTTTTAATTTACGATTGGGTGGGTTGGGGGGGAGGACATTGATGATGGTGTTTGAACCCTTTATCTCAACTGTGAAATATCGGGAGCTCATCAATTGAGCTCGCCTTCAACCTTATAGTTTTAATTATTATTTTTGCTTTTGAGCCTTTTAAGTAATTTGTACTTTTGTACATACTAGTATTTATGAACGTGCGTTACACGTTAATAATGACACGTGATGATTTAAAATATTTATTTATCTAAAGGAATAGTAAAATTTAATTAATGAGAGAAATTTTATGTATAATAATACAACAATCATCTAAATGCCGAAAAATATTTTTACATTAGCATAATACATAAATTTAAAATAAAAGGATATCATCAAAACTTATACAAATGATCAATTTTGTCATGTTAGTTAGATAACTATGTATTATAGTTTAAAAGTATTTAATGTGATGATATCTTAACGAACACTTCTTTATGGACAATATTGTTTTGTGTATGTTTTCTCCTAATACTTTGGTTTCTCTTCCTTAATCAGAACTCTTGTTGTCGATCTTGATACCCCTCTTGAAAGTGCAACATACATTTGTTCATGCAAGAAAATATATTGCGGTAAATATAGTTCAATATTTAGGATTTTTGTCCTTGTGTTTTATTTATTATATTTGCAACACATGAACATACTAAAAATTATTTTCACACAAATATAAAAGGATATTCCTTAGTTTCGGAAGACGAAAGTTGGATTAGAGGATAAGAATATACTCAGAAGCACATTGACCAGTATGTGTATGATATTATTGTCAAAACTTCTATATACCATTTGTGTGCTATTACATAAGCTATTCGGCATAGCTAAGTTTTTCAGTAGTATGACGGGCATATTTTTCATCAAGATTAACCTATATACAGTGAAATATCAATTTTAACTTAGTCTATTATATATGCAGTGACACTAACATACGTATGAAATAATAAACTTCACAAAAAACATGTATGGTCATTTGGTATTTAAGTATTCTTCTTGGTAGTAATTATTGGTATCATTTTTTTGCTGAGTCCAAAATTGAAAAACATTTTATTTTTACCATAAAATTTTGCAATCAACCTTTTATTTAGTTGATCAACATATTCATTTCTGCTAGCTAAGATATCTTTTTAATTCTATCATGCAATTCACATAAAATTACATTTTAATCTAATGATAAAAATATTTCTCTTATTAAATGCACTACCATTACCATTGGGATTGATAACCAACTGTTCAAGAAGAACCAAATCATCTTTTATTGGATGCTCTTCTTCGTTTTCGACACGAAGCAAGAATACACTGAATACTGGATCTGTCCTTACTTTATATTTCTTGGTAGTTGAATCTATTTCATTTGAGGCCAGAAATATAATGTTGGCAAGCTAGCTTTTACGGTCTCTGCTTTTGTTGATTTTGGAACTACCGGTAGTACTTGACAGAAATCACCTCCCAACCCATTAATGTTCTACCAAACGGTTCATTAATATCCAATATATCTCTAGAACTCCGAGCAATCATTTCGATCGTTTGACACTTAGCCATAAGTGCTTTATCCCATATTATTAATTTTGCTTTCCTTTTAAATTTAGCATCATTGCTCTGCTTTGATATATTTGTGATGGTTATTTAAGTTGTTTGAAAAGGTATATCAAATCTAAAGTGGGTGACCTCATAATAAAATCGTTGTTGGCACACCACTTGCTATTATTGGTAACAATGTCATGCCTCTTGATATGATATTTCCAAGTAATGCATGACATAGAAATATTATTTCGATTCTGCCAGAGGCATCTACAAAGAATAATCTCGTTATACCAGAGTCGTCTCTTTATAATATAGTCTTGAAAGCTTATTCTTGATTAGAATTTGGCTTCTTTTTTTTGATTTCTTACCCGATATCCGGTACCCACATTGGGGCCCGACTAATCCGGATTCGCGCCTGAAAGTCCCACATTGGGGGGTAAAGCGCTCCCTAACAAAGGCGACTCCATACCCAGGGCTCGAACTCGAGACCACTGGTTAAGGAGATTAGAATTTGGCTTTGATTGTGCTTCCTTAGACACTTGGATAGCATTTTGATTCTTAATAATATACTAACCTTTTTACTTTTTGTTCTAACGCTCTTTTTATGGAATAAATTTATGTACCCTAAGATTTTTTTTTTTAAAACTTGAAAAAGAATTTTACTCATATGATGAATTTAAAAAATAATTGAATTGGATTCTCTTGCTAAATTTCAATTAAAAGATTTAATTATTTGATTTAACATAAAAATAATTTATTCTATGTTGATTCATATCTTAATATTAGTTCATCTCTTGTTTTGAATATTAATCTTAATTATAATTTTATCCACCATAATATTTATTTTCAAAGAGTAAAAGATTGATATGATATTTCACTTTTAGATCGTTATGTTTGTAGAATCATTAGTGGTATTGACTCTTACCAACCATTTTTTTCTCTTTCTCACACATTTATATTCTTAAATATTTTCTTAGTTGTTGTTCAATAATTGGGTATTTTTTAATATTACACGAAAATTTGATTAAAAAATATTATTTGAGTAGGAAAATAGTTCAAATATAATATAAAAATATATTATTGTGGGTATTTTTTTCTTCTCAATTTCAACTCTTTATGCAGTCCATTTAATATTATTTTTATTTTTTATTGATATTGGACATTATGGAGTGGTAATGTATTGCCAATACGGAGGATTCTTATGAAATTAATTTTATTAAACCTACCTACATATTTTTAATAAGAATTTAATAGATAAAATTTTATTAATTAAAATTTTAAATATTAAAAATTAGCATAGAAGGTATTGCAGTCCAAAAAATAGGTTATTGTAGTTATTTCCTTTCTCTATGAGTTCTTCCGCTTAATATTTTAGGGCTATTTGGTATATTAATATTATATTTATACTTTTATAATAATATAAGCTCTCCTTTTCTAAATGGATTTGGACAATATAATACATTCTCAAATTAAATTAGTAATAGAACATTATAATACGTTTTTAAATTAAATTAGTAATTGAAATTTTTAAGAAGTATATCCTAAAAATAATAGGATTACATGACTAAAAATATTTACTTGTTCAATTTTATATGAATTAGACAGCCCGAAAGTAATTATACTAATAGGATTCCTAAAAGGTAATCATGTAGGATTCCTAGCGCGTAGTATTATATTCTAAACTAATAGGATTATAAGGCTAATATCCAGAATTTCGGTTATGTCCCTTATTATGAGTTATTTATGCTTAATATTATAAGGTTATTTTTGTAAACCGTCATTGGATTCATGCTTTTATAATAATATAGATAGATAGATTGTAAGTCAAATGCAAGGTAGGAATTCGCCAAATGAGCTAGCCTTCAACCTTATAGTTTTTATTTTCGCTTTTCAGCCTATTAAGCAATTTGTACATACTGTAAGTCAACTATGAAAGGTAGGAAGCTCATCAAAAGAACTAGCCCTAAATTCCATAGTGTTAATTTATCTTTTTTTGGGCGTTTGAGCATACTAGTCTAAGGATACGCGCGTTGCGCGTGTATTCTTATCTAAATGAGTACAAATTTTTAAAAAATTATAGTATTAAATTTCTGATTGAATCATGAAATATATGTCAATAAGAAACTTGATTCTTGATTCTATTTTGCTAACTCATTAAAAGAAGAAACTTTGTCCGACAGGATTTCTCAGTCATCTCAGTCAATATATTTAACATAAAATTTATTTAAGATTTATAATTTTATTGCTTTAATTTTACAAGTTACGCATCCTTTTTAGTTTTACCTAAATCATAAAACTTTAAAGATCCAGAATTATTATATTTTTATTTTCAAAAAGCTATATATTCTTATGTTAATTCTAATTAAAAAGACATAAACAGGATGTCATCTAACTGACATAAGACGTTTAATACTATCCTAAAAAGGAGTAAAAATATGAAATTCAAGTAAAAAATTAGATTTAGAGTTTATTCTTTCAATCAATTCTCACGGATATAGTGTGTTAGTTTTCTTGTATTTATATAATCAGTTTTTATATTTTAATTGGGACGTTTTAAAAGTTAGTCTAATTTGATTCAAAAGAAAATTATAAATTGTTTTTTTAAAATATTTTCATGAGAAAATTGTTACCAAAATAATTTTCTTGTATATTTTTTTGTAATCTATATTTTATTTTGTCATGTTTATAAGCGTGCTCATAAGTAAACGACCAAAAAAAATAAAAAATAACATTCCTAATTTCTTCGTAGCAATGTATGTGCACGTAGTATAAGAATATACTACTCCATTTAAATTTGATTTCAGCCTCATTCAACTCTCTAAAAAAAAGTTGTGTAAGACTATAAATATTTAATTAGAATTAAAAGCTAAACTAATAATAACGTGGACCATCTTTGAACAATTGTGGTTATATTTTTTCGATCCATATAAGGTAACCTTTAGTGTCCTAATATTTGGATTATATACATAGTTTAAATTAGAAAACTATTTAATAAGTCAAATTTTAGTTGGTTTAAAATTCTAAATATTAGGAAAAATAACTTAAATTATAATTCTATCCATGTGAATCTATTTTTAGAGGGTCAAAAAAGGTGAACGACACATTTCGCTAAAGGCCTTCGTGCTTTTAATATAAACTAGTTTCTCGGCACGTGCGTTGGACGTGTGTATCGGAGTTCGTTAATTAGT